CTGCTCTGTGCCAGGCACCTGCTCTGGTGTTGAGGAAACAACAGGTAGCAAAGCAAACAAGGTCCCTGCTTTCCTGGAGCTTACACTTTAATGAGAAGATAGACAATGAACAAGAAAAGAACCAAGGTTACATCCCAGATAGCGCTGAGTGCTGTAAAAAATACAGTGCAGAGGGAGATTTCAGTTGAGACTTAAAGGACAAGGCAAAGCTAGCTGAGGAGGATCCAAGGGATCAGAGGAAGGGCATTCCAAAGACAGCACCCAAGCAAGAGACACTCTGGGTGTTAGAGAAACAAGGAGTGGGGAGGGAGGGCACAGGGAGTGGGAGAGGTCAGAGAGGCAAGCAGGGGTCAGATTCTGCATGGCCACAGAGGGTTATGCAAGGAAACAGCCTGACCTGCCTTCCTGAAGGAACCTTACTCTGCGGGCGGGTTGTGTCACCTGGACTGGGCCATGACAGCCAACGTAGAAGGACTTCATCCCCAGCGGCTGAGTCCATGATGATGGCTGCTCCTAGCAAGTCCTGGTGGTATGGAGTGGCCAATGGGCTTGGCTCCAGAGCTTTCACAATGACCATGGACCACCCCCCTTCTCCACAATCTGCTCCCACATTCTTATCCTCCTGACTGCCTTTCACAGTGCCATAGAGCATATGGATGACAACAAAGAAGCCAATCTGACCGCTGTCCACCCATGCCCAGCCCATGGCATTGGCTCAGCAAATGCTTTCTGTGTCCAGCCTAGTGCTAGACACTGAGCACACGGACCGGAGCTGCATATAAGCCCCACCCTGGAAGGCAGCAGCGCGTGAGTGTGTGCACCCGCACCTGGCGGGCCAGCTGGACCTCCCCTCTCCACCCAGGACTCCTACCTAAGTCTTCTCCCCTTGGTGAAACCTGAAAGCCCCTGAAATGGTTCTTAAGGACAGATCAATTCACACTCAGGTGAAGCAGGGAGAAGAGCTCAGTAGTACAGCTCCCTCTGCCCCACTCCATCCCCATTCTTCCCTCTCCACCAATGGGGGGCAGAAAATCTGTTGAAACTCAGGAATGAACCTGTAACCAGTAGCATGGCAGGAACTATTTATTTCAAGACAAAGGAGGGCTTTGGTGTTGGTGTGAAGAGTGAGTGGGTGGGTGAGGGGACCAGCTGGGACTGGTCTGGAGGTGAGGGAGTAAGAAGTGTGTGCCTCACCCCTCCTCCAGCAGCCCTCACAGAAACACCTCAGCTTGGAATCACCGGAGCCAAGGTGAATTTGCCACTTGCAGAATCTCCTGCATAAAAATCATTGTTGTCATTGCTCTCAAGAAACAGTTACGCTCCCTTTGGTAGGTTTATATATTCTGCCCTTCGAAGTATCAGGCTGAGGTTTGCCTCCCTGTACAGTGGGGGCAGTGCCTGAGAAAAGGTGCACACTTGGCCCTGGGAAGCCCATGTAGCCTAAGTCCCCCCAGTAGTGACATTCCAAGATGCCCTGTGGGATCTGTCCACACAGGTCAGGGTTCACTCCCATGTGGTTGGGTGGCAGGGTTCTTTTTTTTTTTTTTTCCAGTGGGACACAGTCATCCTGAGGAGAAGTCAGCACTGCAGATGGTTCCAGACCCTTGAGTCTCTTCTTCCCAGGAGGGATGGAGGAGTTATAAATAGAACATACTCCTTTAACCGTATACAGGCACGGATCCCACACCCCCGCCCCAGCCTCAGCCAGCTGGTCCCTCAGCACCTAAGTTCCCACAGACTGCTGCTAAGGAAGGACAACTGCCCACTCTCTTCAGGCCAGAGAGCAAAATACCTTGAGATCATCTCAGCCTCCAAGAACTCCATATGTAACCCCACAGCCCTGTCACTGCAGTGCTAGTCAGGAAGAGGGTTCAGAAACATGACTAGGGAATTTCTACACTCCAGCCTGCCAAGGAAGCCCAAGCTGCATGCTAAGACTGTATTAATGCACTGAAAGAAGTAATTGGAAGACCATGCTCCCCCCACTCTGCCTCAGTTTGTCCAACTATAAAATGAACAAACAGTTCAACAATCTAGCTTATGGGGGTGTTTCTAATGCTCATGAAGTTAGGTATGGACTTGCAACACCGTGTATCAGACCCGCTAAGGGAATTGCTTGCTGGTGAGATTAGCAAGCAATGAAAGTGAAAAACCCACCAAATATAACATCTTTTATCATTAGGATAGCAAATCTTGCTTTCTTCTACAGGAGCCCCAGGCAGAGCAATGGGGACACTGATTCTTATCTGTTCAAGACAATAAGAAGAATTATATTGCATTTGTCTGTTTTTTTCTTTTATTATTCATATGTGCATACAAGGCTTGGCTCATTTCTCCCCCCTGCCCCCACCCCCTCCCTTTCCACCCACTCTGCTCCCTCCCTCTCCCCCCCCAATACCCAGCAGAAACTATTTTGCCCTTATTTCTAATTTTGTTGTAGAGAGAGTATTCTTGATACTACATGTCCAAGAACACTTCCAAAATGTTCCCTCTTACAAACTACTTCTGAATAATACAGATTGACACACACCACACCCAGTCCTATTTTGACTTAATAAAGTTCTGTCAAGCCATACATAACATGAGACTGAAGGTTCAGCCTTGCCCTAGAATATTTTGGCGGTGGTGGATTTATTTATTTATTTATTTATTTATTTATTTATTTATTTACCAGTGCTGGGGATTAGAATATTTCAATGTGAGGGTAAAAAAGTTCTCTTCATCATTCTATTCCCCCACCCTATGCACATGGATAAGAAACAAGTGGCTAAAACCTAAATGATCAACTGGCATCTCTTTAATTAAGACACTTTGTTTACTCAATAAAATACACAGTAAAAAACATTTGCTGAAAACCCACTCATTGATGCTTAATAGCTGTGTCAAATACTCATGACAACATTTAGTCCACCACCCCTCAGATAATTGCTCTTCTTTCTCATTTGCCATCCACAAGAGCACACAGCATTTGTGTCCAAGTGTAATTGATCCAAAATTGGGCTCCCTTTCAAAAATATCTATAAAACCTAATTACCAGGAAAACAGTTCTGGCATCATATGGAAAGTGGGTCCTTCAGTGAGACAAGTGCGAACTCATCTTAGCTAATCAAGTCCATATTATGTTACCAAAGGAGTCTGAGGAATTTGGGGTAATGAGGGGACAGAAAAAGTTGGGATAGTGTCAGACTGGACTCTGCAGTGACAGTCCTGATTTTGTTAAGCTAAGGAAAGGAATAGGAAATAATATACCATATTCGCTGGCAAGTATGGATTTAGGAAGTGCCAGATAATAAGCCTGTGATGGACTCCGGGTCTGGAAGTAGCATTTCCGACCTCAAGGCCAATGAGGCCTTACTCAGGAAACTGTCCACCGTGGCCTGGGACATGGATGTCATTGCTAGTGTCTCTGGGCACTTAGCACTGTGGCAGTCACTTCCTTCCTTGGATCTGGCATTGCTCATTTGTGAAATGAGAACTCCTAATATCTAAGGTCTCTTTCAGCCCCCAAAATTCTGTGAACTTTAAAACAAAGAGCACCCTTTATGCTCACACATTTGAGGGGGCTGGGGGGACAGAGTGGGAGCAGGACCAAGGAGAATGAAGGACTGAGTGTTTCCAATGCTCATGAAATTAGGTATGGACTTGCAACACCGCGTATCAGACCCGCTAAGGGAATAATGATTTCTTTCAGCCCAGGACAGACCTACCAGGGTGGTTCTACCTGGCTGCCCTGGATTCCTCAGCCTGGCCAATGAGGAATGGGGCCAAGCCACCCGGCCTCAGACCTCTCTGTCAAAGCTGGACATCTTCCTCTTTTAAGGGGTCTTCTCTACCCACTCCCACCCTCTTTCTGTCCCAGAGGCCCCAAAGACCCTAGCTTTGCAATGGTCCAGCAGGACTGCACCAACACATAGCACAAGCTTCCTCTGCCCTGTGCTTTGCCACCGAGGCTCGGGTACGTGCCACCACAGCTATGTAGGTTTCAAAGGTAATAAGAGCTGTCTAGTGTTTTTGGCTCCTCCTGGCCTTCCTCCTAGCGAAACCAGAGATGCAGGGGGAATAACAAAGCAGCACGATTGCCTGAGACAAATCGTTTTCAAGGGAGCAAGAGTCAAGCACATCATGAGCGAGGATGCGCGCTGTTCCGGTGCGTGTGGCTAGGAAGAGACCCTCAGCTGCACCGCGCAAGCGACAGGTACTCGGCCAGGCTCCGCTTAACTTTATCAAGGCTTGAAGGAATTGTGTCCGCGAGCCCATTTTCCCCAACTTCCCAATTTGACAGCAGCAGTGATTTGAGATCCCGTCTGTGAGCTACCTCGGTCTAGGACCCACACGCAGCCCTCAGGCCTCATTGTGAGATGCAGAATCCCAGCGGTTCCAGCCCCCTTTCTAATCTTCAAGCGAAGAGTGCCTTGTGCGAGATGCGGATTCCTAAGTCCCTGAAAACTGTCACTCCCCAAAATGCTCTTGCGGCTTCCCGGCAGAAGTGCGGCAAAACTTTTGGCAGAAACCACCTGTAGCTGCCAACAAACACGCCCCGCCCGGGCCGGGAGGCTCCACGGAGCCCCGGGCCGCACGCGCCCGCAAAAGTTCCCTTCCAGCCCCGCGGCCACTTCGCTCCCGGCCGCGGTGCCAGCCAGGAGGCCCGGCGCCCTCTCTCTGGCTAGCTCTCCGCTGGCTCTCCCCTCGTTCCCTCCCTCCCTTTCTCCCTTCTCCCGCCTCCTCCGGTTGCATGGCTGCCGCACGGAGCCCCTGAATAGCCACCGCAGCTCCCCCCCCACCCCCGCCTCTTGCCCAGCAAGCGGAGCGCGCCCCTGCCCCCGCCGGCGCCCCAGGGCTTGCGGACCGCCCGCCTCCTAGCAACGATCCCGGTGATCGCTTTGGGGCGCTACTGATGCCCAGCCACCCTGTCCGCGCCCCACGACCTCGCGATCGCAGCCGAGGTGCGGAAGACACCCCCTGGCAGCGGGTGCCCAAGCCCCGCGCGCGAAGCCGCTCACCTCTGCGCGCCTCCGTCTCCGCGCGCCTCGCGCACTTGGCGCCCGGCAGCGGTGCTCGCGTCCTCCTTCGCGGCGGCTGTCTGTCCGTCCCTGCGCTCGCGAGCAGCGCTGGCCGCGCCGCTGTCAGAGTCTCGTGGCGGGGCTGCGCCGGCGGGTGTGGAGTCGAGCGGTGGCGGCGGGCGCGCGGACAGCTCCTCCCTCCCGGTGCTGCGCCTCCGCCCTCCTTGCGCCCCGCCTCCCGCGCCGCGGCTGTCAGCCCGGAGCCCCGCGCCCGGTGCCCGCGCCGCCGGCTCGGGGGGCGCACGGGGCTAAAGGGCCCGGATGTCTGCGGTCGCCTCTCCTCGCTCGCGCCCGCCTGCTCCCCTGCGGCCCCCTCCCCGCCCTGCCACACATGCACTTGCTGTGTCCCAGCTTCCTCCCGGCTCCGTTAATTTCTATTTTGACAGTAACTGTGGCGAGTAGGCGGCGCTGCGGGGGACGCCCAGGACCTGCGGAGGCGGCGGGCGGGAGTCAGGCCTCTGCGCGGGGGCGGAGTGGGGGGCAGAGCAGAGCCACCAGCCTCTCGGGGCTCCGCGTCTTTTTTCTTTCTTTCCTTTTTTCTCTTTGCCTCCTCCAGGATTTAAAGGGACAGCCCCGGCCGAGGCGAGGGGCCAGACGGCCGCGGTTTCTCCGGTCTCCAGACGCCCTCTGCGGCCCGGCCAGCCCGGCTCGCACTCCCAGCCACAAGCTCGGAACTGCCGGGTATTTTTAGGTGCTCTCCCGACCCGGGGCAGGGTGCGGCAGAACTGGCTAAGTTGCTTGGTGCACTATTTTTACAGAGTCCGGCTGGGGGAAGAAATCAAACTACTCAGGAACTGCTTTCCCACCCAAAAGTGGGGAGCAAGGAGTGGGGAAGAGAAGTTTCCCAAATGCTCTCCGAATTCCAGCGAGCGCAGCGAGACGCTTTGCCAATACGAGAAACCTTAGGTTTGCCGGACTGCAGGGCGCCCAAATCCCTATGGGCAAACCCACCCTAGAGGGCTGTGGGGCAAGGGGCCCCACTACTCCTTCCGCCATGGACGCCCCCAACACTCAGCACCCACACGCCTCTGGTCAGCTCAGGGCCAACAGTCAGTCACTCCCCAGGATCGCGGGGAAGGCAGCCTTCCGAGCGTCCAATCACTGCGCTATGCAGTCAAGGGGCGGGCCTAGAGAGAACTTGGCTCCGCCCCATATCCCTAAGCTCCACCCCCGAGGTTATTGTAAAGCCATGGCAATCTAGATGGGACGCGCAGTGCCGAGTGGTGATGGACACTTCAAAGGGCCCATCTGAGAGGAAAGGAGAGGATCTCGACTCAGGAGGGACAGCCTGAGCGGTCGCAGGCAAAGCGACCGCTCAGACTGACGTTCTGGCCACCTCCAGGCTGAGGCACACTCCAACAGGCTTTAACCGCCATGGTTTTGCAACTCACCTAACCTTGATCTCTTAGAAGAACCACTTGACCTCTCTGGCACGACATCTGCGGCTGTATTCGCGGATGTCAGCGGGTCCTCTTCGGAGCTCCTCCTTCAGATGGGGGGAAAGTTTGCTGTTCTCAAACTCCTGAAGGCTGATTTATCTGAGCCACGTGAGATGCCCAGGAAAGGCCAGAGAGCACATCAATGCCTCCTTGCCCCAAGGCCATCAGTGATGTGACTGTGTGGCAGTGGCTTTTAATACTGAAAATATTCAATAACACCCTTTATGGAATTCACACGAATAAGTGCGTGGACCTTTTGTTTGGCACTTTGGGATTGTTTTTTTAAAAATTACTTCATTCATTCACGTAATCAATGTGCATTACAAGACACCAGTGGGGAGTAGAGAAGACTAGGGAAGACGCCTCCAATAGGATGTGACAGAGGAAAGCTAAGGACTCACATCAGAGGGTAATGTCGAACTTTATAGGGTTTGTGTGCAGTTACCCAGAGATTAATGTGCCAGAGAGGCCTGGCTTTTCTTACTAAGTTAAATGTCACTATTCAAGTTTGGACGGCTACCTTATCCAAACTACTCAAAGACCCATGGAAGTCTAGGGAAGTCTGTTGTGGAAACTAAGATATTTTCAGAGTCAGGATGTCACATTTCCAAGTTGCTAGAGCTTCCAGAATGGCAACATAATATTCCTTGCTTTAAGTAGCCCTGGGAGTCACTGCCAGGTTGTGTGTTTGCCTGCTAAATTAGGTTATCTGTCTGGCTTCCTTTCATTAAAAGGTCTTCAGCAGTGTGGAATACTGCTGAGCTAGCTGCATAGCCAAGCTTCTGAGCCGTGAATCTGGGTGTGCCCACACCAAGCTTGGGGAGTACAATTAGGGAGTACCTGGAGGCTCAGCCCTGGAATGTCAAGAATGTAGTTCTGGAAGTGAGGAGTTACAGCCCAGAAAAGGGTATCTTGTTTGAGAAAAGTGGACATGGGCACTGAGTTCTAAATGGCTTCTCCTTTCTTCTCTGGCTCAGACTAGATGTTCCATGGCTGTAGGTCATCCAACAGCTGGACATCCCATGAGATATGGACAGAGGCTTCATTCATGTTCTGGACAATAAGCCTCAGGTCCGGAACCTAATAACCACAGGAAAAAGGTTTACAAATGTAAGCACATTCAAGATGAGAACTGTCTGCAATTGTGGATATAACAGAGTATTTTCATATGCACTTATGGTTATGCTTTTTGTTCAATTGTATTTTTGCCTACAAGACTTTGAGCTCCTTATCCATCTTGTTATCCTGAGTGCCAACACCTAATGTATCTTCATTAGAAGTTAGATAAATTGAATAAGCAAAAGTCATTTAATTCATGAATTCATTTCTTTATTTGCTTTGCTGGGGACCAACCCCAGGGTCTTACACGTGGCTAAGCAAGAACTCAAAAAGTCTTTTTAGAATTTTGGAGTCAGTGTGGTTACACATGAGGTTACACATAGATCTGTCCGGTGAGCTTTATAAGGCACATTTGTAATATATTTGTTTAGATATAAGTGCAATGGTAAACTTTGCCATAATTACTAGGATTCACTGACAGTCAATCTAGAAAGCACATCATTCAACTCCTTAATGCTTCCATTACAAAATCTATAGAAAGGGATTCCAGCATGGTGGTGCATACTATTTGGAAGGTGGAGATTGAAGGGTCATAATTTGAGGCCAGCCTGGGCAAAGTTAGCCCAAGACCCCACCAGAAAAGCAAACTAAAAGCAAAAGGACCAGGGGTGTCCTTCTGGTTCAAGTGGTAGAGACTTTACATAACAAGAAGAAGAAGAGGAGGAGGAGGAGGAAGAGGAAGCGGAAAAAAAATCTATTTTAAAAGATGAGGGGATAAAAAAAGGGGCCCCTTTGACTCCATAGGGATGCTAGAATGATCGATCAGGTGAGAAAGATGAGCGGATGTTGCTCCATAGACAACATGAATGAAGGAGCTGCTGTGTAGTATGCTATAAATATTAATATTAGATACTGTAACAAACTTTTTAAATTGTCTGAGAATTGGGTTTAAATACTTGGGTATATCCCAAAGATGTTGAGAGGCTAGTTCATGAAAAGACAAAGGGGAGAATGAATGTTTACAGAGCTCCTTCTATAATCAGAACTCACGAATGCATTGCTATTATGTTCCTCATGACAACTGTGTGCAAAACATTTTGCTATGACCATTATCTAGAAGACAACTCTGGTATCAACAGCAATGGTAATGACCAGGGCCCAGAAGTTCAGGAATGACAGAGGAAGCACTGGGACCTGGGTTTGTGAGGTCAGAAGTTTAGGAGCATCCTACCCTGCAATGCTTGTCCCTAGAGAAGAAAGAGAAAGAGGGCTTTACGGAAAGGGAGGTGAAGGGAATTCAAGGACCATGACCATGACTGAGACCACTGACCGTGTTATTACAGGTTGGGTGGGGCACAATCTATACTCAGAGGCCCTTTGTGGAAAAGGTAGGACTTGACCAGTCCTCTGAGATTGCATGTTTCCTCTTTCTTTTCTGTCAGTTTGTTTTTTAATTTTCACTTTGCAATATCAGATGTACAGAAGAGTTACAAAAATGATATAAAGAATTCCCATGTGCCTTCACCAGATTCCCCAAATGCTAACATTTTCCCACATTTGCTTTAGCCTGCTGTCTCCATATATATATACATATATATATATATATATATATATATATATATATATGTATATATATATATAAAATTTCTTCCTAAATCATTTGAGAGTAAGCTGAAGTCTTGGTGTTTTCTAAGAGTAAAGACATTCTCCAACATAATCAAAATCAGAGCAGAATAATCTTAAGCAGGTTTCAACAATTGTCTCTCTAATAGAAAAATGAAAAATAGGTAAATTCTGGTCCAGATTCAATCTGCTCTATAACCCAGGACTTACATTACATTTAGTTGTCATACCTCATGAGGGTATTTTTCTATTAGTGAATATGTTATCAATTTTTATTTCTTATTTTAGTGACTTTTATAACTATACATTTATCGGCCATAGAGAGTAACAATGACTCTCTTTTGACCAAACTTTAGATAGACTCCTTTGAGCTACTTTTTCTCACTAGGCTCTCACCCTTGGGTCCTCTCTTCTAGATGTAGAAAGAATCTTGCTAAGTCAGTTTAGTGAGAGTCCCCTCACCCTTGATATCTGATCACCTCAATATCTGATCAAATTCCTCACCCCCACCCTTGATATCTGATTTTTCTGGCCTGTATTTAACAAGAATCCTGTTAGGTCAGTTTAGCAAGAAGCCACCTCCCCTTGATGTGGCCTCTTAGTAATTTTCCATCCACTTACTGACCCCCCCGCCCCGCCACTTTGCTCCCTGGCTATAAACTCACACTTGCTTTGGTTAGTCCCATCTGTCCCCCTGGTGCAATATTTCCCATTGCAATAATTTTGACAATTTTTCCTTACCACTTTAGCAAGTGTCAGAATAATTTTTTCTTTAACAGAGCCAAAGAATTAAAACCCACATGTACTCACCCACAGACAATAATCAGTATTGATTGTCCATTTTCCAATGAGCATGTGTAATCCAAGCATAATTTGCATGTCTCCCAAGGGCCAGTTTTCTCTGGAAAAGGCTATGGCTCCCTTCCCCTGGGACCCACAATGGCTCTTCAACATCTCCCCAGCAGTCTGAGCTGCAGGTGGGCATATGTATTCTTCCGAGTGCTCAGCAAGTAACTGTTGAATCAAGTTGCATATACATATACGTGTACACTCCACCACATAGCTCCCATGGACACTTCTCAGAGATGAGAATTCAATCTAAATCTATGAAGATCAGATAAACGATTTTGCATTAAGTTTTTGCAAAATATCATAGCATCAGCTCCATTCTTTCACCTCCCCCAATTTGAGAGTGGGGTATGAGAATCAC